GAATCCACACTGATTTGCGCCATGATTAATGTGAGACCTTCAAGTTGCCCAAGTTGAAGTTTTGTCACGTGTATAGGCGCAAGTACCTAAGATAAACACATCGCCCAAGCGAGTCCACTTCAGTTGCCACATTAACTCCACTTAGCACTGCAAGCCTGTGGTGTATTCCAATGCTGGCAGCAGCTGACATTAATCTTTATCAAAACAAATACACCCCGCGGTACCCTGTCAAACCATAGGTTTGTGTAGTGAGGGCGTTGTCAACTACAATCGATCTGGATTTTGCAGTTAATTCAGTTCGTTGGGCTTTTTATTGTCGGCTTCCATTGATGATAGCCCATCTACCTTGGAGGCTTGCGTAACACTGATGAGAAAACCAAGGATAGGAGCTTAACCGACACAGAGCTGCAGGGGGTCATGAAATACTATCAGTTTGTATCCCACATACCGTAGCCCCTAGAGCCGGCAGTGATATGCACACTCCCCCGCTGAACACCTGACTCCAGAGGCTATGAGGTTCGTGACCTACCTAGTTCACTGCCCTTGGGTTTGACAGATCACCGTGATGGGGTTAACTTATGTTCGGTGGCCACACAGAAGGAACACCTACAGACGGCTGTTTGCTGTGGCATGGCATAGATGGCGTGGACACCCCTGTAACTGGCCCCAAACAAATGACCCGATAGCACAATGAGGCATCCAATTCCGCCAGGCGGATCGGAAGCAAGCTGTCGGGCCCGATACGCACACGATTTGGATGGGCTGCACCCAACTTCCATCTGCTTTGAGTACGGTCCCAGCGATCGCCGTGACTAAAGTTCCCTACAGTATGAACCACGGTCCATTACATTGAGATTGCGCGTCGCAATCCAATCACACAACGTGTATTCCAAACTTGACCCTCCATTAAGATAACCTACAGTTCACCAAAAGGTAATGATACATAGAATTTATACGCGCTACTCAGTGGAAGTGAGGAACAGTATACTTAAAACCTATGAGGAGGGAGAAGCTTGAAAGCAACCTGTTTGTGAGCTTGATGCAAACGTTTATTCCTACCGTAGCTGGATACAAATGTGGGAATCAAACGGACCTACAGGACAACAGGGGGAGCCTGTCGCAGAGGTTAGACAGAAAGCTACGTCGACTCTCTGGTTGCTTGGTTGTCTACAGAAACAGTTAACCTTGGAATTCATCGTTTTCAGTTAAAAGTGCAGTTCGATGTTGAGGTAAGCGCCAGCAGTCGACATGCACGGCCAACTAGTAACCATGAGGTTGCACGTCCTTCCGGGATCCCTGAACACGCTGAGGAACAAGTGACAGAAGTCATTCGTTCTGCAGCTATTGAATTTTGAAGCATAAGGAAAACAGCCCATGTAGATAGATGAGAGTAACTTCAAGCTCTTTTGTTGTCGCAACATAGGCCGGTTACGAAGTGGCAGTCGAGTACAATATAGGGTAGTGAATAACAGCGGGTCGAATGTGCAGATTGTTGGCACCACGATGAAGGATAGCTTGATAGCGTACGCCGTTTTACAGGCAGCTACTACAAGCGTATGGGTACGCAGAGGCTGCGTCATTTGCTTGCTGCTAACGGTACCGTATTTTTCAAAATATGCCTTTAGACTTGTGACAACGCGCCATGCCGCACAAACCTGGAGCACCTTTTCCTGGAGGAACCTTGAAATTCAAGGAGGCTTCTGCGATTTTACACATACTCTCCATCAAATGACCTCATCGATGACATCTGAATTGTAATCAAAGCTATGTAAAGCAAGTAATGAAGGAATGATAAGCCGCATTACTCCGAGGTGACCCTATTGATGTTCTCAGCAAAAGAGAGTGACCAGTGTGTTTTCTGGAGCAGATGGTGTCTGAAACCGAACGGCTAGAACCCAGATCTTGGCGATACAGGTGTGCTCGCTTTATCGACAGTAGAGTCTGGTTATTTATTTATAAGGCATCACTGCGAACAAATGGTTCAGTAAACTGCAAAGAATTAGGGCTGTTAGCCATTTGGCAGCTATGGAAACCGTTTCGTTGTCAGGTAACTACCTATCTGTGAATGGGTTGCGTTTTTACTTTGTCACCGTCGTCATATGCTCTGCATAAAATATGTACTTCTCATTCCGGGGGAGCGTCATGACACGCTATTTCGTGTAGTATATCCGTTGCCACTTCTGCACTGTGAATTAACCCTGCGATAGCTTAAGCGGTCTCAGCAACGACAGAAAGATGTTTCTATGGCTAGTAATGATCGCAGAAAACAGTCTATGGATAAAAATATGGAAATGGGGAGAACAGGAAAAAACACAGAAGTACATCAAAATGACCGCAGTGAGTAGAGGGTGATGGTCCGTTGACTGGTTGCTTAGTCGGCCATACCAGTACAGGCTGCTGGATATTGCCTAAGAAACAAATCAGAGACCAAGATCCCCCCCACAAAAAAGTAAATCTCTTCCTGAGGAGCAGTGCGCGGAAACGCGCGACTTTGAGAGATTCATTTTGGAAAGCACGGAACGGAAAGCTCGAAACGCTGAGCGCTGGAAAGCCTACAATAACTGGATGAACGATGGTGTCAGACTGGTCCGCGATGACAAACTGAAACACCAAGAGAATTTACCGGGGAATTTCTGCCGTAAACATAAGCTAGTTAGCACACATGTCAACAAGCTACGCAAAGTGCAGCGAAGCATCCGTGCACTAAACACTGCATGCTGGCAAGCGCAAACTGTGCAAAAAGCAGCAAGCGCTCTTAGGTAATGATTCGCTGGTACTCTTCAGAACACACCACCTTCCCATGTCTTTCTCAAGCAGATCACGTCACCACCAGCACTTAGCCACATCTCTCAGCGGCGCGAATGTGCTAAAACGTCTTTTGTTACTACGTGAGCGCGGTTCTCCTGGTGCGTGCAAATTAGGCAAAAAGTCACTGAAGGTAGACGTCAGGATCTTAACTGAACCTTAGTCTCGACTTTTCATCACTATCTCGACATGCAGTTTCCTGCGATGTGGAAGCATAGAAATTGGGCCGAACCCATAAACTACCGTCAACTAACTTTTCGGTCGGTTCTTAGAGTCAAGAAATATGTCACTGCATAACATCCATGGGATATTTTGAAAAATTTAGTATTATTGTTCCGGAGCAGCACAGCTTCCACCGAAACCGCACTTGTATCACGCGATCTCTGTTATCCCGTGACAAATGCATGGGATCGTTGATCATATGAAAGGCTTTGACGATGTCTAGCTTGATTTCACGAAGACTTTTGATCATCGAGATCACTGCATTATTCTCTAAGTGCTTCAGAAATATGGGATCAATGACCCTATCCTGGCTGGATACGTGTATTTTCACTCCAACACTAGTTCACCGTAAGAGTTCGTAATGCCTTGTCGGACCCGATGGAGGTGCACTTTGGTGTCCCGCAAGGCCAGGTTCCAAGAAAACAGTTATTTCTGGTGTTCATAAACGACCTCGCTGGATTATCACCTTAGACTTTCTATCCTTTGTGGATGATCACAAAATTTGGTGGGCCATCAGAACGGTAGACGAACATATAAAACTGCAAGACAACCTCGATAGGGTACACGAGTTGTCAGCTCAAAATATGCTCAAGCATAGCGCTGACAGATGTAAAGCCCAGACCAAACGTCACCCAAGTTTTACAACGCCCTCGTGCAGGACGATCTCAGCTACTCAACACAGGCCGAAAAAGCAGCGAGAAAAGTGAGTCAACGCTTGAGTCTCCCGAGGAGAGTCACTGGCCGGTTCAATCCCAGTCCGGAAATGCTCAACGCCTACATGAAGTCATATGCTGACTACACTATCCAGGTCTGACACCCTAGTAACATTATGACGTAACTGCTCTACAGGTTTCACAACGAAGAGTGACTGAAATGTTAAGGGATTGCTCCACCTCCCTTACCAGTTTAGACAAAAGACAATATCGGTTCCCGCGAAGCATATGAGATCCTCAAGGATCCTAACCACTCATGCGGACAATTATTGAAACTCAGCCTAAACACCGCACTGAGGCAGCAAGTTGGTCAGTTGGAATATCGCCGGAACCTTCGAACAAAGAACGAAGATTTACAACGGGCAAAAAAGCGAGCGCTCGACAAATCCAGATGACCGTAGGGAGGATTATCAAATCTAAAGTAAAAACGACGGGAACAAAGGGAAAATATTGTTTTAGGTGACCCATCAAGTCACTCACACGAACATAGGTGCAGGTTCCCTCACCGTCACGTTACGTAGATGGCTGGTGTATACCCTATTTGGTTTCTTCTTCCCAATGGAACGAATTACACCAATAAATGTGTATCACACTCGTCGAACTTCTAAATTCTGCCATCCCACGTCACTGGAATTCGAAACTCAATCTGATAACGCATTGGGCCGCCTGCATTACATGAGTAGAACCCAAATTGTTGGGACAAGGTATAACGTAATCAGTGGGCACATCCAGAACACACGGGGAGTCGACCAATTGGCGTCACTTTTTCTCGATACATTTACCTTGGTGCTGGGTCTTTTAAGCACTTGTCATTTGCCGCGTGATAAATCCACTGTTGAAATCACTACTGCGCTGGTGGATAGTACCTTAACTGATGACCATGGTCGGGCTTCCCTAACATTGCTTGGCTTACTCCTTACAAAAGTTGCAACATCCAGGGTCAGAGGAAATAACGAGGTGCCTAACGCACATTACACAGCGACTTCACAAACCCCTGTCATACTCATGATCTGGGGTCAATGGAACGCGGTGAGCGTTATGCAGTGCTCAAGAGAGAGAGAGCGTAATGGAGAACATGCAAAATTGAACACGTTGGTCACGGACCGACAGATGGAATACATAAGGTAACACTCTGACGTCCGTGCGTCAAAGCACACTTGGTCAAGTCCCTCTTCACCAGTTCACCCGGCGAACCCAGTAGGGTTGTCAACGGAGGATCAGCGATGCGAGCCACTTGGAGACAGAGAAGAAGAGTGTCTTGCAGTTCACTGTTCAATTTAGTTATTCAACCACGTTTAACTGGGGCCGTGGTCGATGTTGGCAAATGTCACAACAAGAAGCACAGGAACAACGACACGAATCAGATGAAAAAATGTGAAGGCCAAAAAATATTAAGAAAGCGCGTGAAGATGCCGTGCTTGTCAAGACCGTCCTTCAGCATTAACATGAATGGATCCCCAGGTATCAAAAATCACAGACACAATGGGAACTACGTTTTGTGTGCTGCCTGGAGATGCGGAAAAAATGGATATCGAAGGAAATGGAAACGCCACAGAACAGAAAGACCTTGTTGGTTGGTAGTATACGTACAAATTAAAAACAACAAAGAATGGGTGGGAAACCAGCGCTAAACGTGCGTATATAGTTGTGTGGGTGTGTTTGTAGGCATGTGTGCTAATGAATCGAATAGGGCGATCCTCTGATCCACCAAAAAGACTAAACAGAAAAGTAGATATTTTCAAGTCAAGCCCTCAGCTGTGTGTAAAATGACTGATGTGTGGAAGCGGGTGCACCTGGTGTCAAATCGGTGCATGTAGGGCGGTGCTACAGTCGACGCAGACGAGTAGAGGCCCGATGAAACGATGGTGATTTGACAACGCGGAGGAAAGTAAGAAGTTGTAGTCCGTTATGATTTGAAATCAAACAGCCATTAAAATATGCCTGAGATAAACTGGTTGTTTGTCGCTTTCGATGGACAAACGAAAGAAGAGACTGGGTACAGAAGTAAGACAGGGACGATTGAATGCATGCTGATATACGTGTGTATGTGTGTGTGTCGAGGGTAGCCACCGCGACCACATGATGCAAAAACGGGTGAAGTGGGTGGGGCGAAATAGGGGACACCGGGTCAGTGTATGCTTGTGCGCTCTCTCGATTGCTGGTGAGTGCTCGCCAAGACTAAGAAAGCAGAAGGAGAGGAAGAGTGAAGTCCGCGACAAACTGTTGGTCCGCAATGCGGGTTGCCCACGGAGAAGCGAAGAGTACAGACTGTCTGTTTGCCATCCACGTTACGGTTCAAATAACAGCGGAAGCAACCACTCGTCCTCATCAGCAGGCCTAGCAATGAAGTGAAGCAAGAAACACTGAGATGTTGAAGCTGAAAGACAGTATAATTCAATTACCTTTATCCATCGCTGGTACCGCAGACCATCAAATACACTGTAACATCACTTTTATAACAGAAATGCCATGATCATAGCTGAAAGGCAATGATGTGTCAATGACCGAAATAATTTTTATCACGTCTCTGGACAGTTTACTACAACATCGCAGTGCGGACCCATTACTGAAGTCAACCTACGACACATATTGAGGGATGAAACTGGGAGATAAGGATCAGAAGTGGGCGCATCATACTTTTGATGTGTCGTGCAATCTTCATCTGACTCAGTGGCTCAAGGGCAAAGGCAAGATACACTTTGCAATCCCCATGGTGTGGAGGGAGCCGACAGACGAAAGACTGTTACTTCTGCCGAACTGGTGTCATTGGAATCTCCAACCGAAACAAGGAAAAAATCCATTACCCCGATCTTCCATCAGCTATTCGACCTGTTCCTCATGATTGCACCTTACCTATTCGTGCCTCCAGTGAACATCACTGATGTTGAGTAGTGATCCCCCATCGTCAACTTCCCCTGATTCTGACAACTGTGACAAATTTGAAGCCGATGTTGTCAAGCATCTTATTGAGCAATCAAAGCTGAATGATGTACTCATGAGTAGGGGATTTTGATGCAATTAAGTGAGGTTCATCACAGCCAGTATCCAAATCAGATAGTCGTTCACATGCCCGGAAAAGCACTAGATTGCAGTTTCAGCCTGTTGGGCATCGTCAGTAGTGCGCATCCATTGGATCCATCAGGATTCGAACCCATGACCACCAGCGGCTTGAACCGCCAGTCAGCAGCTTATGCCACTGGGCCACGGGGGACAGCTTCGGACCGTCATGATTTACAAGCTAACTGCGATATAGCGCGTCTTATCCTCCACTGCCATGCAAGTTACGAACGCGCTATATCGCTATCGCTATATCGCAGTTAGCTTGTAAATCATGACGGTCCGAAGCTGTCCCCCGTGGCCCAGTGGCATAAGCTGCTGACTGGCGGTTCAAGCCGCTGGTGGTCATGGGTTCGAATCCTGATGGATCCGATGGATGCGCACTACTGACGATGCCCAACAGGCTGAAACTGCAGTCTAGTGCTTTTCCGGGCATGTGAACGACTATCTGATTTGGAAACTGGCTGCGATGAACCTCACTTAATTGCATCAAAATCCCCTACTCATGAGTACATCAAATTATATCCGCCTTGACAGTTTCTAGATGCTATGTCGTACATAGCTACTGTTAGTGGACGTCGTGTCTTTCGGGGCCAACCCTGTCCTCTGCAACGTTCGTAACTTGCATGGCAGTGGAGGATAAGACGCGCTATATCAAAGCTGAATGACTTGATACATGACCTAAGCTTGCCTAAAGACAAGTTAGAGTTGCTGGCATCTCAGGTGCAACAGTGGCACTTACTTGCTGCAAACACTAAGGTTACTGTATACAGAAAGCGATGTCTTGTTATCCGGTTTCTATGACATGATACAAACCTTTCGTTACTGTTCCGATGTGGAAGAACTGATGAAAAAGTTTGGCATGAGGCATATCAGTGATGAATGGCGTTGGTTCATTGACTCGTCCAAGAGTAGTCTTAAGGCCATACTGTTACACAAGAGAAAAGCGTACCCAACTGTGCCTCTGTTACATGCTACCAAGATGAAGCCGACTTACGAAAGTACGCAAGAGATACTCGCTGCACTGAACTACGATAAGTGCTGTTGGAACATCTGTGTTGACTTCAAAGTTATTGGACTCCTAATGCGTATGCAAGGAGGCTTCACAAAATATTCCTGTTTGTTGTGCTTATTGGACAGTAGAGCAACTCAACAGAACTACACAATAGAAAAGTGACCAGAGAGGATGGAGTATGCTGCAGGAGTATGCTGTGTAACCTGATCCTATCTCGTTACCATCCCTGCACATAAAGCTTGGTTTGATTAAAAACTTCGTCAGAGCCCTCAAGCGAGATGGTTTTTCGTTTCGATACAAGTATTTCCAAGATCAGTGATGCGAAGCTCAAAGTAGAGATACTTATTGGGCCTGGTCTTTGCCGAATAATGGTAAACAGTGCTTTCGTATGCCAGTAGACTTCATTTGAGTTAGAAACGTGGAGATCATTCAAGGCAGGGTGTACAGGATTTTGGGGCAGTACAAAGGCAGAGAACTACAAGACATCAGATAAATGCTCATTGCGGACTAACGGGCTGTTGGTGCTCGAATGTTACTCAGGATGCACATTTTGCATAATCACCTTGAGTTTCCCCTTGTTAGCCATAAGCATGATGACCAAGACATTTCAGTCATGGAGAAGCGTTACATTGGCAAGTACTCCCCTTCTATGATGGGTGACTGGCTGGTTTCTGCAGCATGAGGGCGCTGGATTATACATGCGACGATCTCTGCGAAGTTAACATTTCCCAGTGCCGAGCTGCTGTCAGTAGATAGTGGCGAGTGTTGCAGTGATGTTTTAAACCTATTCGCCACAGGAGCATTCTGCATACGTTGTGTTTCAGTACGTTTGCATCTACTTCGTACCATGTAGCATTGACATGACTGAAAATAAGCATTTGCTTATTATAATGTAACCTGACGTGCTAAGTAACATCGGAATACATTTTTACGATCAGTGAGGTGCATTCTATACGGTTGGGACATTGGCACTTCTGTTACAGAAAATAAATATTGTTTGTTGCTCAGTGATGTTAGTAAGCGGACACAAGACAGCTTGAGATGTGGGGAAATAAAGCGTATGAATCCAAAGCGCCAGTGACTGCTAGCCCAATAACTACACCATCCAATGAAGTTGTACGATGTAAAAGAACGACCGGTTGTGATGAAAGAAATGCTGCTGTCGTGAGTCGGATAATGAATGAAATCAAAGGTTAGGGAAAACGCAAGTAGGCTTCAACATGCAAATCTGGCACTTACTCACAGTCCTCCGTGATGGTGTCCAGCGGCGTTGGACTGGAATAGCCAATGCGACAGAGGGACCGTCGGGTCAAGCTCCATACTGTTGGGCGACGACCTGACGAGGAATCTCGATAGTAGATGTCGTACAGCTCATCCACTAGCGAAGCGCATTGAAGCACATCATCCCAGTCAACCTGTAAGAGGAGAGAAGTCCTATCGACTGGGCATGAGGAAAAATCATGAAAGCTTATCGCAGAAGAACACCGTAGGAAAATACTGAGTAGTAAATTTTTCTCGACTGTGAAACACATTCAAGGACGGTTAGAAGCTCTACGGAATCCAGTAGCCGAAAAGATGTGCGAAGAGAGTGTAGAGAGGGCAAGCAACCGAAACGTTCTAGTCGACCAAAAAGCATCGTGATTCACAGTACCGACGGCATGTGAGAAACGGTGCGACCTAGTAGATGTAACAACGTGCGATGAAGCGCGATGAGCCAGTTTAAGGCGGAGCCCACACCTGACTAAACCTAGGTGATGTACCGAGGCAAAACGAGCCAACCGGAGGCGTGAAGTAATTGGACCATGCTCATAATCCTAGGCTTACTGAACTATATGCTGTTTGTTTTGCACCCCAAGTTCCAGACCGGCAATGGTCTTTTGATAACTAGGTGCCGGCTTTATTCAGATTGTGAAAAAGTACGTGTGTCAAACTGAAACTTTGGCCGATGGGATTCCTTTTCGGTGTTGCGATCACAAAATTAAAGGAGAAACATGAGCTTACTTACTCCACAGAGGTCAGTCAAAGATGGGAGCCCCTTCACGCCAGTTTGCGCTAGGATACCAAGAGCCAGACAAGTAGGCCGAAAGCGATAAACCTCTAACGAACACATGGAGATCTCCAGTCGAGCCATCAAGCGCTTGGTCAGTTGCGTTAGCTGAATCCTAGAATTGCCGGAGCCATGATTGGGATGTACGAGGACTCGTTGGTCGCATAACATACGGCCCTCTGAAGCAGTCTTGGATTGGTGGATTCCCAGTTCCGAAGGAATGCAATTAGAGTGGTCTTCACGAACAACTTCCAAGCAATCGGCAAAAGTGCGCAAAAAGTCGAAAGCGTTCACCCCATCAAGATCGTGTGCTAACTTGGAGGCTAAAATTTCTTCCATCCTGAGAAGATCTGCAGCGTTGCCGCCACATCGGGTGATTTGAACGAGGGTCTCAGGAGGCGGTAGTTCACTCTCCTGAATGAGGAAGTCAAAAGTAGGTGAGTGCGATAGCAAAATGTGGATGTGAGAGGGAAACGCAAACACTATGGCAATTCTAAGACACCTATGTTCTAATGACAGACAACGAGATTGAAACCGGACAACTGGGGATGCCGGTTACGTCACTCTGGAATCGATGGTGGACCAATGATAAGAGCGAATGTGCGTGGGATAAATGCCTGGGTAGGAGAAACCAATAAGCGCACAAGTTGATCCTGTACACAAATACAAATAGGCACTCAAGAAATACAATAAAACTGAGTAGAAAGTCGTAAAGTAATTTAGCTTTAGGAGCACTTCTTCTTATCTGTAGTCAAACAGCCAGTCGGGCATAAGTAGGGATGAGGACACAACTGCGATGAGCACCAGCCAAGGCGCTGCTAAGCCTAAGATGAATAATTGTTCAAAAGAAACCGAATTCTTTACACAGCGCGCTGCGACTATTGAAGACACCTCAGGTAACGGTCAGATAGGAAGGCGGCAAATAGCAGTTTATTGCCTAAGCAAGCTCTACGTGCCCAGTAGCTGCAGCACGCTTTTTTGTCACTTGGCGCGTTATTTCAAGAGTTCGGTTTCATTTTGGACATTCTAGTACGACAATGTGTGGGTGTGTGCCTAAATCTAAGTGAAAATATGCCATCTGTAAACAACCAACACTGAGTGGCTCAGTAAATGACCTCCACAAGAATTGGCTGCCTAGACGAGAAAGAAACTACGGGACAGTGTGCGAAAAATAAAAAAATACTGCTCACCTTTTGTGAACGGCAGAGTCTGCTTGCCGCGCAGTAGGAGGCTGTAGCTACACACGCCATGTATTTCGGTTTGACCTGTAATTCAGAGAGAAAATTAAGCTTGGATAGGTTTCGTGTGCTCGCGTGAAGTCTGACTCCAACAGGTTGAGACAAAAACCGATCGAACAGGTTAGCATTAGTTTGGTTATGTCCATGCCCCGAAAGAACACGATGCATAAGAATCGTATTTAGCGGGAACAACGGGAAGATTAATAATGTCATCAGTTGGAAACTCGAATCTTGCTCATGTAGTTCCGGAGATGTCATTTAGTGAACCACCTCATGGTATATAATGTATTTGCCGTATATACAGGTATCCCTGAACAATGCAACAAAATGCTAAACAGTTTTAAAAGAAACAGAGCAAGCAGTCATCAGGTTCGGGCAGGTGGCTACTCGGCAACCATGTCAAATGCCCGGTGAAACCCAGGTCATGTAATTGTTCTGAATCTCCAATAAGAGGAGTCTCAGTGACAAGCAGCTGTGGCGTTGCAGTAACCGAAAAAGATAAAACCTCATTGCGTGCATGATGATGTGTTAGCTGTAAGCCGTAATGGCGCTTCGATGCCGCACAACCACCACCAGTAACGCGCGCGCTGAGTATACCGCTAGGACTCTCACATCTACGCGGATTCGAACCGGTGACCTTATGGTTGCTAACCAGGCGCGCAGACCACTTGGCCACAGGCCGAGCGGGATGGTAATGAAAGAAAGTAACACGGAACAAAAGTCCTGATATGACTGCTGCTATTACAAGCAAATGGCGTTGCCTGCCTCATTAGAAAGTCATCTACGCCACCGCCCATCGAATATCAGACGTAAAAGCGAAGCCTCTTATTGCTTGTCGCACCTTTGGGCTTTAAGAATAGCAACTAATGACATGACCGGGTGTAGTAGCAGAGTCGAAGGCAGTGTCGAAACAGTTAGGAAGTGAACTGATAAGGGAAAAACACTGCACTAGTTATCCGCCTGGCCGTTCGAAGGAAACTCGGACGCGTGGGAGAGTAGGTGGAGAGCCGATATGCTAGATTCTGCAAACTAAGTGCAGATTTCGAGCACGGGTGGCAGTGATCGGGCTGAAGAAAAAGGTACGTCAATAGGGTGTGGTTACAATGGGAAAAACAACCGAATTTACTAGGGCATAGTGGGCTCGACTGAGTCATACGGTGCGGATGAGATAGGTGAGCAGAGGTCTGCACACGGATGTTCGGTTGTCTTCAACAAAAAATTCAGTGTGACTAACAATGCCAAATTAATATTTTATTGAGGGCAGTCTGCAAGTCAACTCCCAAGATTGCTCTATGACTGACGGCGCCAACTTACTCAGAGAAATAGGGTACAGACCGGGAAGTTTGTGATTGTCAAGCGGATCTCACTGGTTGCCAATCTCGAAATGCTGCAGTCAAACCTGGTCAAACCGGTGGATGGTTTCACGATTCGGCATCTGCTCCGCACGTAGTTCAAGGCGCTGCGGCGAGATCATCACTTATATGCAGAAGTCATGGTGAAGGGGAACAAGGGGCTGGCCAGTCTATCTACTTTAGCAACGGCATCGACAGTAACTGGTGGATGATACTCGAACATTTGTCAATACTAAAGACACTTTCATCAGTCTGCCACGCCTTTGATGCCAGAAGTGAATCCCTTCTGGTATAAAGGACCACAATGGCGGCCATCGTCCGCTGCAACCGTGGAGATTAGCCACTGATCTTAGATGCCCTCAAGTGTTTAATCACCGCTGCACACGAGAAATCAATGTAACGAATAACTGAGAAGAAAAGGGACGGACCGAAACGGAAAACCTGTAGTGAATGGGCGACGGTCAAACGAAATCATAAAGCTTGTTCATGGAAGTGTTTAGACAGTGACCCTAATCTATCTACAGCACAACCACCGCCGAGAGGACGTCAGAAAGAACAGCTATAAGTGACAAGAAGCAGTGAGTAGGACAAGGGGCGCAAAAGAAAACTGGATGTCATTATGAAATTGAAACATTTGGCGCGGTGTGGTTTACTCTGTGAGAAGTCACCGCAGCAGTCATTACGTCAAACGTTTGGTTCCCAGCAGAAATGACAGATCAGCAGACAGTTAACACCACAAGACACTAAGGCTCAATGAGTGCTCTGTAGTTGCATGTAAGTAGAAAACTATTGGAAAGCAAACGTCGGTTACTTTTTCCATGTGTACTGTGTACTGATAAAGCAAGAGTTTGATAATCCACTCGAGTTACCTTAATATAGTCTTCCTTATTTGCTCAACTCCCCAATTTGCTACTCAAAAATAGATGCAAATGAATTACTCTGGTCTATTAAGTAAGATTGTGTATTACTCATCTGTTTTTTTGGTGAATTTAACTGTTTCATCCTTTTTATATCCCACTATCAAACCGTCGCCATCATAGCACCACTAAGCTGCACCGAAACCAACCAAATGAGAGTGCCCGCGAACTGGAAGCATACGATGACAAATCCCAAATAAAAATATTCGCAAAAACATCCCTATTGCAATCTTGTACAAACCCAAACCATTGACACCCTCCCATGCCTGAGCACGTTTTAATGTAAATATGATCCGTCCCTTTATGGGCTCGGTTTCTCGGTACTACGAGAATATAGCTTATTAGTAGTAGTAGTAGCAGTATTATTGTGCCCGTGATCCTGTGCAAAAAAGGCGGTCAATCAACCTGTTTCCAAAAGTGAGCGAAGGAGGACCAAATGAAGTTAGTAACAAGTAGCTGTGAGGCCAAAGTGACAGACTGGGGTATGCAGGATGTCTTACTGGGAAGAAAGTTTGCTGACCGTGCGGTTACAGTAGGTCGCGATGACGGAAGACGTCGCATGCATCTCTCACTACAACAGAGAGAGACAAATGTCGGTGCCGTTTCGAGGCACCCGAATGACTCCGCGCCCGTACCACATGGACTCACAAGCAGCACCATCTCACACTATAGTACAGGCTTCTTATTCCTAAACTCAAAGTGCGACCTAGGAGCATACGGAACAGAGTTGTATAGCCCATCGGAGGAAACGAACTTAGGCATAATTGATGCGCAAGCCAGACGGGGCTGCCAGTGCGCGGTTATCTACGTGCTCTTTTATGATATCGTCGTGTTGTTATGACCAACATGGCAAGAAGTAGCTTCGTGAAGTCGGTAAAACTGTGCAGTATTCTGTTTAGTCAATTGTTTCAGTTACCGCACAGAGGACAGCATAGCAACAGATCACAGCAAATAGACTCGAAGTACTGAAGATAAATGCACATGGTAAACCCATTGTACTCCAAATTCCTGTTAATCCGGAGAACCACAAACTGGAAGGGGGCAGAAACACTGGGGTTTCCAGCCAGCAAGGTAGAAGAAATTAAGTGAAAATTTTCTTTGTTCTTGAAGCGTTTTCGATGCCGGACCATCTGGATGTCCAAAGTATGCCGTTGGGTGTTGGATATGGTGATACTTTTCACTAAAAACAGTGGCAACCAGATAGCCCTCACGGACTCACCCAGAATCGCCATGATCAAAGTACAGAAATCCGTCCAGGTTTCAAACAAACCGTAGTGGCAGGAACTCTGGTAGAAAAGGCATCGGCAGTAAGCCAATGGGTCTCACCGACGATTCGCTGCCATGCAATCAACACGTCGCGCGGGCGGGCTAGGCAAGAGGCCCATAATTAAGCAGATCCGAATGGGTAACATTCGGGTCCCAAGGTAGACACCTCGTACCTTCAGCCAACGATCGGCACTGACTACGTAGGCATCCAGGTGCAACCGGTAAGTCTGGGAACCCTTGCGTCTAGTGTCATGTGAAGCGTGTCTTTCGTCTAAACTTCCGCGGCTGGAAATGCGGAGGTGAAAAAGGTATCAAGTGACGAAGAAACAAAGAGCACATTTGGAATGGGTACGTGCTGCGAGGCTCGTTGTGAACGAGCACAAAACGATCAACGGATTCACGCAAGAAGGAAGCACTTCAGCATATACAACTTGCGTCGTTCAAATTTAGCGGTGAGCTAGCAAAAAGTGTAAAAAGTCATTCGTTTCACACCATAATATGAAGTTTGTCTAAGCTGTTCTGCTCAACGGCAGATAATTAAGTGCTAAGGACATCAAGATCATGGATTGCAAAATACAAACAAGCAACGTTCGGGAGTTTCTGAATTTTCAATATATGGGTGCTAGGCCAACGGACCGGAGCACACACAGACAGACAGCGTGCCACGAACTTTGCGCACACACTCACTCACCTTCACTTTCACAATGAATCGATCGATTAAATTGACCGCTTTACAAAAGGTCTCCGATGACAGATTGAAAAATGCATTGTGCATAAAGCGCAGGTTATGCACCGCTTCATTGCGCAGCGATGCGTCCACCTTGTCTTCGGTCTCCTACGGCAGAGTGGATAAATCAGAGAGAGAAAAATGACAGACGCGCGTGCACGTGTAAGTGCCACTGATGCACGCAAGCGTGCCTGGTGGTGGTGGTGGTGGTACGACTCGGAAAAAGCAACGGAAATCGACTACGTGCATGTAGTCGAGTGAAAGGGAACTGAGTCGATCAACGCAAATATGACCGCTGCTCGAGAATTGGAGCAGTGATAATGTTTTGTGGTTACCTTGTCACTCCGTAGCTAACATGAATATTCGCTGCACCACAATCACTTAATCGAGGCGTATGTCGGATACTCCTTACGTCACTAAGACATGAAGCTCGGTAAAAAATACCCATGAAAGTGCTAGCAAAGTTGCAGATAAATGTATGATTTGGAAAGACAAACCTAAGGCACACATTGCAGTCATGATGGTAAGAACACTTGCGCCTGTCTACCTCGCATCGCTTTGTCCCCTTATCCATCTCGCCCTTGAAATCAGCGACACCGGTGAAGTAAATAAGCCTGTCCGTCCCAAAATCGATCGCTTCGTCCGGATTATCCATCCAAACATGTCCACCTAGTGGCAGGGGTTGTGGGATCGATCGGTAGCGACCGAAATAATGGCAGTCAGGTAAAATTAGAAGAGGCGGATTACCTGGAGCAGAACTAGTGGGAATAGCTCGGAAGATTCAAGGGACCGCTGGAGACGTCAGCGAAAAATTGTGCAAACGGTGGATTAAATACAGGATAGTAGAACATGACAGTGGAATGCGTTTCCAACATATTTTATTAAAGTACATGAGTAACCCGTTTGGCGTGATGTAATCACTGGTGGTGACAAATCATGAATCTTATTCAGAGGTTCACGGTTAGCATTGGCTGTGCACCAAGACTTAAACTTTCGAGTGACCCAATCTACTGTGGATAGTATATGTGCAGGCCGGGCGATAGGAACGACCTAGGAAAACCGGTCTTGCACACCAGAGGCTGTCGTATTGCAAATGAAACGAGCAGTCACCAATTTGGATAACTTCTCTATAAACGATGAGGCGCATCCAAATTCCAACAGCATGATGGTGCAGCCACCGGCGTAGACAAGCAGAAACGCTTATGTATAAGCTGTGCGCCACCAATTAGTTAATGAGTTTACTTCATTCAAACCCACATGTGTTAAACGGAGCACATTAAGCGATGACACTTGGTGTGGATACATAACATGCGTCAAACAAGTGTATAAACTTGAAAATAGTTGCCATCGCGCAATCATACATTAGCCATGATACTTGGTATACAACGGGATTCGGTGGGTCACTACTCACATATGTAGAGAGAGCTATCTAAGGAGAGAACGACAAGTAGCTCAGTGCGACTAGTGAGATATTTTCCGTGATGGCGGGTCCTGGTGCATTTGTACTGTCACGCACGAAATCCAGCCGATGCCTAGTTTGGCGAGTGCAGCGGAAAGCGAGATGATACACGCAACATTCTGTTACATAAAGCCACTACTCAATCATTCTTCCCACAAATATATGTCCCACTGAACCAATGAGTCACATGTTCGGAATCCAGATATCAGCGGATAAAGCTGATATGCCTAGATCCAGTTGTTGTTTTACGAGGTGGAATGTCGCTGACCGCAAATGCTGATGGAAGACGGCATGGTTTACAAGCATACAGACACGGGGAGCTGGATAAGTGCGGTTGTGTGTACCAAGAGAAACAGGACAGTAACCGGAGTATCCGCCAGTTGTGTACTGATGCGAGTTCAAGAAAAACGCCACAGGTCCGGTTTCCGAGGACTTCGGACAAACGTTACATGTACCCAGCCAGTTTGCTACTTTGATAGAAAACCAACCAAACCACCATCAATGAGCTGCACTTCTGTAAAAACGTAGGCCAGAGAAGGGCAGTTGGAAACGCAGAGAAATAGTACCGACATCGAGATATTGCACCTACATTCTTTTCCCACTATCCCTCAGGATAAAATCCGTGATCAAAAAGTACTATGGCCTTATTAGTTGGCTTGATGAAAATAACCAACCATATACTGATAGATCAGAAAGCATAAAATTCTACGATCGAGAGTGGCTTAAGGGCAATCATCCAACTTTGTAGGGCCATTATAAAGTAATGATCTAGGACGCCGAGAGATCAACGATAACCCAGTGTTAATCGCAGCGCCTTGGACGGGTCACTTGTATGGCCGACAGAAGACCTAAGACCCCAAAGCATCCTTAAGTGACTGCAAGTAGCCTGCGGGCAAACTAAGTTAGATGGCTGTGAATGGCACTATAATAGGTGTGAAGACCGAGTTACTGTAGCACTTAGGAAGTGATATTAAATCACCAGTAACGAGTTTGGGTGTGACCTTCTGCGGATAAGCATATCGATTCAGGATGGTATCCTATCGGAGTGCTCGTGTGAACATCTGTGATAAGGAGGTAGTGCGGTGAATCCAGGAGAAAGCAATAGATGATAGAGAGCAAAAGCAAGTTCCTTTGTCAGCCCCGCCATTTCCCGATCGTTGCGGAGATAGCCTGGGTCACTGCGGAACGAGATCCCACAGGGAACCACTGAAGCTGCATTGGAAACAGCAGAATCCCCGCATGTAAGATGCGTAGGCCAAGGAAATAGATAATGTGTAGTTATCAGCAAAATACTAGCCGACCGCCTAGGGAATGAAGCAAGATGATCGACTTCTTGACAGATGAAATAGGGTGCTGAGCAGCGACATCCCTGGGCCAAATAATGGATTCGGTAAGTAGATTGTTAAGTCAAACGGCATCGCAGTTGTTGGTGGTCTCACAACAACAGCAATCAATCTATTCAAAGCAGCACAATGTTGAGGAAGTAGTGGGAATCACAGCACTCCAAAAGCTACATATTAAAGCAGAAAATGCAGAAACGAGACCACTTACTGGATTAACGTAATAGAGAAAGGCATTGTTGGGATGGTAATGAAATTCCCTAGAAAAGAGCTGTTGCAATCGCTCTTCGTTGAGGAGGGAGAGCTGAAAGTGAATGGAAACAAATCATATCAGAAGAAGCCAAGCATCAAAGCAGTAGGTAGGATAACGGCTACCAGGTGATTGCAACAATGGTCAAACACGGTCACAACGGGAGCACTAACAATGCAATAATCGGAATCTGATTCATCAACCTAAAGCAAAAAGGAACGCTTGTAAGATAACTAGAATTTCAGTGGGAGATATGTAAAGACTCAGAGCAGTTCTTCTCTGACGTACGTTGCAGGTGAACTCCTTCGTTCGATCACGCACGATTCGATTGTGTTCAAAGACGAGCACAGGTGACGGTGAGATGCCCAGTGAAGCTGGAACAGACGAGGAAAGTTCCGTTGATGCAGTGGAAATTGTCCCTGAGGCTTCCGGTCTGGCGCGCTTGTGTTCCGTTAGAGACGCCTGAGAATTCGGCGACAGACCATCAGCGCTGGAGAAAAGTGCCAATGGGTTCATCTGTGGTGAACCGTGAGTCGCCGGAATCTCAACACCTTTACCCCAGCCTGTTGCAACAAGTGGACTAAGTCCGGACCGCTGGTCCCGACGGAAGCGGTACGGAGCACGCTTACAATCAATAGAACGTTTTGGTGCACGCGTTTGGCCAGGTCTACACCGAGAGCAGTTTTGCACATTGGCCCTGTGTGTCAAGAGGGTGATTTGTTCCATCGCGGGGACATGATCTTGCTTGGCTTCTGTCATCTGTTCAGTATTCTGGAGAAATAGTAGTATTTGTTTTCTCCGAATAGCCACTCAATCTGATTAGCAATGCGTGGAACTAAGACGGAATCGCACAGGACCGAATAGTCGAAACCCGAAGGGACTGGTCTGGGACAGTTCGCCGCGAAATTCACCACAAACAAAGGCGGCAGAAACGCGCATCAAACCGCACGGAACGGTCAGCCCAGAGCGTTTTAGTAGTCAGGTCTGCGCACAAAGCCAGCCACGAACCAATCAGGAGCGTGAATACAAGCAGCCAATGGACTTCTGGGTCATCATTTCTCAGCTGATTTTCTGTCAAGGCCGCGAAACGCAGCTGGTGCCTAGACAGCAACTCGCAACCTATGGTTTATGCTTCGCTCCTTATGGCTTAACGGCAGATGCGCGGACTGTCCGAAAGCAAGGAAGTGGGATGGCAATGCTTTTTGACCGATCGATCAACATTGCATCCTCCCGGACAGTAAAATAAGTTCCGATTACCGGTGATTAGATAAGAGTAGTGGGCCTAATTACACCGTGTTGTAAGACGAAGCGTATTTTCTTGTCTGCTGGTAAGTTCAAGAGTAATCCATACTCATTCTAGTAATATACTTCATGTACGACCTTTTCCTCTGCTGTAGAGGCTAACATTTGCTATGCACAAATACTAGACAGGTTATTCTAGGCCAGCATCGAATAACCTCTAAGGCCATCGATTCATCATCGGCGTTGCAGATCGATCGTTTTGTATACAACCCAACTATTCAGAAATCGTATGTAACAGCTGAATGCACCGAATAACTGAATTAAATTTGTTCAGCCGAAATGTTACTCTTTCTTGTCACTGGAATTTGCGGAGGGAATTCCTTGTATGAAACCACTGTATAATTTCCATAATTCCGACCGAATCACAGTTGGCTGCGAGCTATCTATTATCGCAATGAGGCTGGACCTTACTGTGGTGCGATGGTTTGTGTGCCTCAGAGATCCATTGAGCTATGCTGGGTGGTGCTTATTTTGCACCATCAGAGCCACTCATACCAAATTGGTCAATGGTTAGAGGCCAGACAAACTCAACCTCCTGGACCTGCAGTTTGTGGGTTGGAATGCGGTGGCTCCTTATTTCATAAAACGGGCTCTCCGTAGTCCAGCGTCAAAACCCGCTCCCTTGAAGTAAGGTTTTTTGAATCAAAGGCTTTGGTTGAGAACCCTAATCGTTCTCCTGTCTAGGCCTGGGCAAACCAACAGTATCCTATGCAAGCAATACAATGAACCTTTCAGCAAACAGTTTCTTGATGCTCTGGCCGTCGCAGAGGATAATCAACGGTGCCATATCTGCCGCATCAAGCAGGGTAGATAAGGGTATGGATGATACTTCTCAGGCTTTCCCGTCTTCTTATACCCCTTCTTGCGCATCTTCATCGTTATCGTCCCGCTCCAACTTTAATTATATCCCCGCCCATTTTCCATCCCCCAATTCTTGGCCCTCCCCCAGCTTGCTTCAGTAGTCGCTTGTCTTCTAGTTTCAAGTCACACACAGTCGCAGGGCGTCGTTCCAATCCAGTCGACAAGTCTATGTTCAACCAAGCTGACAACGTCAGTTCATCCGTTTCCCTTTGGAGTCCTCTCGTCTCGCTAAGACTTGCATGCCTCAACGTGCACACTTTGATACAGATTGGCCAACAGGCAGCACTTGCCCGCATACTAGGGACCTTATCGAACGATATTTGCTGTTTATCAGAACCCCCCTGCAAGCTTCGAGCTCCGTGGTTACCCTGTGATCCCCCACACGCGACACTGGCGGTACATTCTCATTGCACCTGTCTGGCCATGATGCAGCTTCAAATGCCGGTCAAACTGGCGCCGGCATTGTTTTGAGTCCTCGGGCTGAAGCTGCCCTGCTCCGTTGGATCCCAGTAAACAGTCGGATGTGCGCCGTTAGATTAGCTGGTTCGTTCCGTGCTACGAAGTCGCGCGGGACAAACGGTGCCTGTTTGTCATTGCGGCCTACACCCCTACAAACTGTAGCACTGATTCGTTAAAAGATGATTTCTATCAGCAACTTCACGAGCTCCTTCGTTACAGAAGAAGCACGGATACTGTGGTGTTGGCTGGGGATCTAAACGTCCAACTCGGAAAATAATCCTCCGATGAGCTTCATCTGGGCGGCCAACATGGTGTAGGCTCCCGTAATGATAATGGTGAGCGATTGCTACAGCCGTGTGAAGATGCTTGTCTCTTTCTCGCGACCACTAACTTTCGACACAGCACCCGCAGAAGCGTGAGTTGGCGGACACCAACCTCGGGCCAGCCATGGAAGCAAATCGATCATATCGAGATCACTTACCGCTGGAGAAGCTGTGTCCAAAACTGTCGCTCGATTTGGAGCACGAGCGTGGAATCTGACCACGCACTTGTATTACCCGACCTCCTGGTGCGTTTCGGTGGACGTCCGCAACGTCGATGTGAACGCATTGACACCAGCCAGCTGGCGAAGCCAGATGTTCTGAATGTGTACCAAGATGCGCTGACATCTGGGCTGATTAAGCGCCCACTAAACACCGTTGAAGATCACTGGTCGCATACTCGTCAAGCGTTGCTATTAGCAGGCATGTCTTCATGTGGCAAAGCAAATTGCCAAACCCTCTGGCACTTATGGATGCTCACCGAGTATTCCGGCTGGAAGAGAATACAATGAGGCTCGCAAAAATCTCATGGCAAAATTGCGCGCTAGCCTGAAGAAAGACCGCGAAGCCTGGTGGTCTCATCATGCCTCTGAGATGGAAACAGCCGCTACCGTTTGCAATCATCGTAAGTTAGTCCGTCTGATACGGGAAACAGGCAGCAAGAGAGCTGGTGTTAGCGAGACCATATGCGACGAGAGTGGGCAGCTTATCCACAGTCTGTCAAAGGCTTGGAACTTTGGGCTGAAGCATTTTCAAGGCAATTTAACCAATCTGAGTCATCCGTTTCCTTTTCGGAAACGCCTATCATCCGCAAGCGAATGGCATGGTGAAACGTTTCCACCGACAGTTGAAAGCCTCACTTAGAGCCGCCAATGCGCTGAGTTGGACTGAGGTGCTGCCTATGGTCCTCCTTGGGATCCGATCAGCCCTAAAGGCCGATCTACGTACGTCCAGCGCCGAGTTAGTATATGGACAACCACTGCGTTTACCTGGCAATTTCTTCTCCGTTAGTCCCAGAATTACTCGTTACGACGCAAATTATGCACGTCAGCTATCCACGAGCATGCGTCAGTACAAGCTTCCAGACGTTAGAGAACAACCACGTAAATCTTTTATACCACAGGACTTGCAGCATTGTCCGTTCGTTTTTCTCCGCCTCGATGGTCTCCGCAGACCACTGGAGCGACCTTACGAAGGTCCTTTCAATGTCCTACAGCGTAAGGACCGCGTTTTTATCATCGACCGTCATGGTAAACGAAAAGCCGTTACGATTGACCGTCTCAAGGTTGCCCACATGGAACCTGAGCTCGATGAAGACCCTTGCTCGTCTTCTGAAGAATCAACCCAGCCTATGATGGAAGACTCGACTGCTTCCAACATTCCTGACCCCAAGTATCATGCTCCATCCAAGCCTTCCACTTCAGCTCCGCCGTTTCCCATCGAGCCAACCGCCACTTCTTCGGCAGTTCCTCCAATTTTGCGATCCGATAGGACGTCTAAGACGACGCCTTCCTCTGATTCGCATAAGTCGACTAGGTCGGGTAGACGCGTTCATTGGCCAGCTCGATTAAGAGATTAGTGTTTCTTTCATTTTCCTTATTGTTTTCATTTTCCCTTTTGGCCAACCACGTATGAAAACCCAAAAAAAATCGGCAAAAGCTTTTGAAAACGTTAAAAAAATCGACAAAACTTTTTGAAAACCCAAAAGAACGCAAAACGTTTTGAAAACCCAAAAAAAGAAGAAAACGTTTTGAAAACACATGAAGAGTTACGTTTCGCTTGACGCCTACCTCATTCGGTAAGTGTCACTCTTATTTTTGCCCTCGCCTTCATCGTCACTACCCTTGTTTCCGTTTATCTTCCATGTATGAACCGGAGGAGATGACGAGCCTGAAGCGAACATTTGACCTTTAAGAACTCGCGAACATTTAACGCTTACGAACTTCCCCCATTTTGTGTTTTTGGCACCGTTAGGGAGGACACGGGTGGGAGCCCGCTAGGGTCCGATCGCCTGGTTCTCCCCCAGCAGCTGCATCAGGTTTCACTACCTGGTCTCGCGGAAGGCTGGCCCGCGACGGACAGTCCTCACGTAGATCGAAGGGTCACCCACGGTTTCCCTTCTAGGTGGGGGGCTGTGTAGCGACCTGGAGATTCCCCCGTATGACTGTGTAAACTATTCTAAAATACTCAAATTATAGCTTTCTCATGTATTAGGGAACTATTCGGTTTGCCTGTTGGAACGTTGTTCCCGTTTGTTGGAAACACGAAGACGATCTCCGCCTTTGGCGCGCGACTCGACTGCGAACGACGCTCTGTCAACGCACTCGACGCCAACAACATTCTCCCTAGCTAGCTCTTTCTGGGTGCCCTATTTTTAGCATTAGCTAACGCTCCTCCCGTCCAATAAACTTCTTCCCTAGTTTACTTTTGTGTCTTCTACCCACCGCTTTTGGTTGGCCGTTTAGTCGCGTACCGAGTTTATAGCGCACGATCTACGCGCTATACGCCCTTCCCCCTGGGCTGTCTCCTTGGATCTGCCCTCACGTGCAGAAATCGAACGTGAGATCAGGCTGTTGAAATTGCATAAGGCCGCTAGGGACAGATAGAATTCCCTCATCCCTCTTCACATTCGGGGGACCTGCTCTTGTGGATGTTTTACACGAATGGCTAGTAAAACTTTGGGATCAGGAGACTATCCCGACAGACTGGAGGTGCTCCGTCATTGTCCCAATTTGCAAGGGAAGCGCACGTTCGAAATGCGGAAACCATAGAGTGGTGAGTCCGATTTCGATTGCCCCTAATTTGCTTGCCTCTGTCACTCTTCACAAACGGACTGACACTCGGGAAAGCCAGATTCGTGAAAAGCAAGCCGGATTTCGTCGAGGTCTGGCTGCGTCGACTATATCTTCACCTTGCGTCAGTTGTTGGAGCACCGCCATGTTTATTAGCGACCTGCCGTTGTCGTGTTTCTTGACAGCAAAGGTGCCTTTGACTCAGTCGACCGACGGGCACTTTGGGAGTGTCTGCTGAGGAAAGGTGTGCCTGATAAATATGTAAACATGATCAAAGCGCTGTACGCGCATAGTTCGGGCAGAGGGAGGGTTTATGGCAAACTGTCGCCACCCTTCAGTATCACCAGCGGAGTGAAACAAGGTTGCCCGTTGTCACTTTTCCTCTTTAACTTTGCTATTGATGTAGTCATGGAAACAGCTTTCGGTGGACACGACCTAGAAGGTATGGAGCTACTTCCTGGTGAGCGACTACTTGACTTAGAGTACACGGACGATATTGCCCTAATCTGTGACAACTCCCAAATATGCCAAACAGCACTGGACCGATTAGCACTGACTATCAATCGTTTTGGGCTATGCTTTGCTCTATCGAAATGCAAAGTACTTTTCCAAAATTGGCAGGGACCCACTCCTGCGCTAACGCTTTGCGGTTATCAGATAGAAGTCGTTCAGGAATTCAAGTACCTGGGCAGCTATTTTAGCACCCGTGGGATTGAAGCTGAGATTACGAACCGTATAGCAAAAGCTCGAGGTGCTTTTGCCAATCTCCGCCACTTGTGGCGCAGACGCGACATTACTCTCGCCCTGAAGGACAGAGTTTATAACGCAACCGTCCGTTCAACTCTCCTATATGGTTGTGAAACCTGGCCCATCAGGTCGACAGACATAAAGGGGCTCGTCATATCCGATCATCGCTGCCTTCGCCGCTTAGCTCTTATCTGGTGGGAGCACCGCGTGAGCAATGAGCGTGTTCGGCGTCGCGCATTTGGTGCAGGAAGAGCGAGTGAACCGCTCAGCACCATTATACCACGCACTAGGCTCCGATGGTTGGGCCACGAGTTGCGCATGCCAGCACACCGACATCCGCGACGTGCATTGTTTGCGCGTTGTGGGTGCGGTTGGAGGAAGAGGAGGAGGGGAGTCCAAGCGAGAACTTGGTCGAGAGAGATGAAAACCCTCACTTTGAAGTTGGCGTCGGTTGGTGAATCCCGACTGCCTGACTGGGGTCCTAAGGACGGTGAACACATTTGATTGGACGCACTTGCTGATATGGCTTGGAGCCAGCCATAGTGGCGTTTGTGTTGTGAGTTCCTTTGCCCATCCCCCTCCTACTTAGCCTCCCCCTTCAATTACGATCTCATTCGTTACGCGTAACAAAACTCTCTTTTTACAGCACCATAGCCAGCTGTTAGCTCTCCGGAACGATGTCCATCCGTTACTGGGGACATAGCCGGCGTGCCACTGTTTGTTTTCCTTTTCTTGTCTTTTGTATTGCGGCAAAATAGCTGAGGTGTTTTCCATCTACAGCTAACGCGTATAATGATGACGATATCTAGGTGCAGCTAAACCATGGAGGGCAAAAAGTACAACCTGTTTTTTGCGTATTGGTCCGCCGTGAGCTCATCCTGTTTTACTTTAAAATTAGATGGTGCGCAACTACCAGTCGTACACAGGACACGGAGTCAGATATCGCCCATTTCTGGGGGTTGTTTATCCGCGATGCGAGTTGGCCGAGAGTTTAATCCACTTGAAGCAACTCAGAAGTGATTCCAAGGGTTAAAGTTAGATGTAGATGTCCTTCTCGGACCTTGGTGTAGTTAAATCAAGAATAACGGGCGCCAATTACCTATGGGACAGACACTTACCAGTCTGAGTTTGGCCCCAAGATCAAAGGCGGTGACATGTGCCACCTTTCGGAATATCTATCTCACTGGTATCGTTACATCAAGTTGAGTGCGGTCCTAGGTGAGCTGCTTTTGCATTCGACTAATAAAGACCTCATTAGTTGAATGCAACAGACAAGTTTGCTTGCTGATTATTTGGTCTGGAGGCATCAGCATGGCTCAGCATGACCGACATTCAGAGAGCTATCCAAATAGCATAGTGGGACAAGCGTCTTAGACCAAGATGGAATGCCAGTCTAAAGCGTGTTTGTTTTTACCATCAGTTTGGTCACAAATGGGTGGATGATCCGAAGTCATTCGCTTTGTAAGCAAAATGTGCACCGATTCCTGGTTGGAAGCAACAAGAAGATATATATCTGTGTAGCTGCGTCTAATATCACTTAAGTACAAAGACCGGTTATGTTGGAGTGCGCTCGATATATTGTTTATCGGCAAAGTGCTTATCCAAGAATTCCTTGAATTTCGGCACCGACTTTGCCTCAACTGCATGCTGCGGCAGGTTGTTCCATACATACACCATTCTCCGTTTGAACTGAATAGAAATGATGGGCGACCCGCTACAAATCTGGTATTACAAGCTTGTACCAGTCTCCTAGTGTGCTTCTTGGTGTGCGCAAAAGCATTATGAGGAAGTCAACTCGCAATCGATGATAAGATACGGTGTGAAGCCCCAGTCTATTACACCGGTATTCCTACGGCACATGTCGTAATCGGGGATCAGCTCGGTGGTCACATGCTTTACCCGCTGGGTCATTCCTACCTTGCCCGGGCGATAGTACAGTGTGCGTTTGACGCCGTACTGTATCATTGGTTGTATTACTGAGACGAACAGGCAAGTGCAGAATTATTAGGATGGGCCAAATTCGGCAAGTTCAATCCGCAAGGACGCTTGGGTGATGTAACTTGGCCCGCCCCATTGCCCATTAACCCATTCGTACACAAAGTGGACGAATGTACACACTCATACAAAATAATTTTACACCGCTAATAATGGCTTACTAAAATTTTGATTAATGTGTAAACAGGGACAAATGTCTACTTTCAGAACCTTAGGATTAGTTTCTATACCTGTTCAGTAACTGTAATTTCAGAGTAGCATCTCACGAAAAAAGACACCACTTGGTGGGTGTGTTTTATGCTCTACTTTTCCGACTTTATCTATTTTTAAGTGAAAATACTTAATAAGCTTGATTAGTAAACTTCTTACTTAATATTTTGGTACTCCTGTTAGATAGAAGAAGTGCATAGTATTCAGAGAATAGTTTTTTGGGTGATGTACGCAAATGTGAACATTGGGACTGAATGGAGCAAAAGTTTAGATATCTGAGCATTGTTGCATTTAGACGTTTGCATGATTTTGGACGCAATTTTTACTGCATAATGCTTAATTGTATTATTTTATTCATGGGTTAACAATTCGATGATACTGTGCGAATTATCACAAGGTACCACCGACTCGCCCAGCTCGCCAGCGCCACAACATGGTCTGTCCTCTAAGAAGAACCCCCAGAAGTCGCCTGCCTCGAGTTCGTCAACACATTCAGTCAGCTGATTGCAGAGGCTTCAGAGATAAAAGCTTGCAATAAGTACAAATCAGTTTCTTTCGTTAGGAGCAGAACTCGAAAATGGATGACAGTACGTAACGCAGCATGGCGAGTGTACAATGGACAATGGACAATGGTTTATTACGGGTAAAAAAGCATCGCTTAACAAGTCCCGTGGGATGGAAATTATTGCGAAAATCAATTGCATAATAAAGTGAAAAGCGTTGTGGTGGACTCACCATACAGAGACGCTCCAGCACCAGAAACTTGGGACAACTACGTATACCAACGTAACCACTGCACTAAACTGTTAAGAGAAGACAAAGCCGCCTATCTACAGAACATGGCATAAACCTTCAGCGATAACCACCAACTGTTGTACAAGCACGTTAATAGCCTACGAAAGGTGAGGCAAGGATTTCCTCCACTCAATACGGCTGATGGCCCAACAAGAACATCTATGGAAGCAGCAAACGCGCTGCAGATGCAATATGCCCACACGTTTCAAAGAGTCTTGCCACCAAGCGATCTACCAAGCTTTGTATTCTGCTCGCCAGGACTAACCCATCTCAATTTTACCGCACAGGTTGCATTGCAAAAGCTGACATCTCTACGCAAACACAGCTCGCCGGGTGTCGACGCCATTCATCCAGAGGCGTGGGGAGCAGCAGCAAGCCAACTGGCACGACATTTAGCTCAGTTTTTCCAACGCTGCTGAGACCGGAACCAAGTTCCCGCCATGTGGAAGCTTGGAATAATAACCCCGATTCACAAAGGTGGAAGCAGAACTGATCCCTCCAACTACTGCCCAGTATCCCTTCTTCCTATACTCTCCAAGATCACGTAATCCATAGTTGTCGATGCACTGGTGTGCTATCTGGAAAACTGCAACCGTATCAGTCCTGAACAGCACGGTTTCCGTCGACAGCGGTCATGTACAACTAATTTACTAATTGCACGCAGTAATTGGACCGAGGCAGCCGACGCTGGAGAAGGTGTTGACGTGATCTACCTGGATTTTTCCAAAGCTTTCCATCGTCTAGACCATCGGATACTACTATCCAAGCTGCAGCATTACGGGATCGGAAACCCTCTTTTGAGCTGGATCACCAACTTTCTACTTCAACGGCAATTAGTGGTCAGAGTTCGGAGCTCTTTATCGGACCCCATACAAGTGGAGTGTGGTGTGCCGCAAGGCTCAGTTCTAGGTCCACATTTGTTTTTGGTGTTTATTAATGACCTTGCACAGGAAATCGCTTCAAACTTCCCAACGTTTGACGGCGATATCAAGATCTGGCGCAGGATCCAGGCGAACGCCGACCAACATGTGCTTCACAGTGACCTATATACGGTGTATCAATGGTCGACCCAAAACTCATTGCATTTCAACGTCAGTAAATGCAAGGTGCTTTCCATCCGACATCAGAGCAGCTACTCATACCGACTCGGAACGAATATACTACAACAATCAGCTGTCGAACGCGACTTGTGTGTCCTGGTTCAAGGTAACTTGGGTTGCTCCAGACAATCCGAAAAGGCCTCGAAAACTGGGAACCAATACGTCGGGTTGTAGCGACGGGCGTTTGGACAAATAAACAGCTCCATATTTCGACAAATGTTTAGTGTGTATGTTCGCCCCCATGTCGAATATGCAATTCAAGCCTGGCGTCCATGGCTGAAACACGACCTTAATGCACTGGAGCAGCCACAACGTCGGGCATCCAAGAACGTAATTGGAATGCGCGATCTTTCCTACCAGAAGAGGCTGCAACGACTGGGATTGTTCAGTGGAAGCTATCGCAGACAACGAGGCAGCCTGTTTATTGCATACTTGATTCTACGAGACCCACATCATGTGTGCCGCGCTTTACTGCATCTCAGCAGCAATACAAACCTGAGGGGCCACTCAGTAAAACTCGCAGAACAATACAGTCGTCTGGAGTGCCGCAGAAATTTCTTTTCTATTAGTATCTCTCACACGTGGAATGCTCTCCCAGAATCGGTCGTCTCTGCACCAACACTAACAATATATAAAAGACAGTTGGACGATGCACTCAGCCACTTACACTTTGTCACTTAACACTACGTCTCCATCCTACACCTGGAGTTTACCATGGAATTATTTGTTGTTAACTGTGGGTGCTGTGAATCTAAGAGGATCGCAGGGCTGCAGCGAAGCAAACAATAAGTCCTTATTTTCATATTTAAAGTATTAACTATTATACTATCCTTATCATCATTATTGTTATGTTGATATCCCCACCGAATATACAACGGGGCTTGTAAAGCAACGTTTCCTGAACGGTATAAATTCATTGTTCATTGTTCTGTCACGTCGCTTTCTGCTGCAGGAGTTAACATTATCAAAGTTAAGAAAGTAACGTCTTTTAACTACATTTTTCTGACAAAGCAATACTTTTGACACTGGATGATTTGCTGAAACAATTGAATGAAGCCGACATAGACTAATTCTTCTGATGATTCTGAGGATGCACACTTTTATTCTGTCGGAGCTGATGTGTTATGTGCTGAGAATGATGATGGAAATATAATCGGTGCAGGTAGATACGAAAACCTTGAACAGTTCAGCAGTTGCACTAGCCAAAAGGAAGGCACAATAAATTTGAGGTCAAAGAAAGCTAGCATGAAATGGTGATTACCTAGAGATAGATTTGACCCAGGAAACATAAATTGACCGGAAGATTCCAGTTCAGGTGATAGCTGCACTTTACCACCAGGATACTGTTTACAATAATCCAGATCCGCAAATTTCGACAAGTTTGCAGCACATTTAAATATTTATCACATGATTAAAAGCGGGAAGAGTTTCAGTACAACGGCTACTGAAATGTGAGTTTTTCGAGATCTCAGTTGTGATGGATACTGTTGGCTTTCCACAGATCCGTAGGTATTGGCAATGAGCCACAAGAGTGAATGCAATTGCGGACATAATAACGGTGAACCGGTACTTGCAAATGCGAAATGCCATCCGCGTTAACGCTGAGCAAAATCCACCGCAGAGAACAAGTAAATTCTGGAAGTTGGAGCCTCTTATCACAGCAAAGCGCACTGGTTTCCTGCAGCTACCCCAAGAAGAGTTCAGTGCAGTTGATGAACAAATGATACCATTTACTGGAAGGATACCAACAAAACAATACGGTAAAAGCAAACTTATCCCAGTGTAGGCAAAGAATTTTATCATAGGTGGCAAATCAGGAAGGGCCATTGACTTCGAACTTTAACAAGGCGCAGGAACAGGTGTCCCTGCAGATACGAAACATTTGGGTCTTGGTACATCAGTGATTCTGAGATTGCCAGAAAGTACCCCACGACAGAAAATTACAAGCTTTGCTTTGACAACTGCTTCACTGATATGAATCTTCTCAGGGAACTGAAAATGCAAAGTATTCGCTGTCTATGCAGAATGCAAGGTAACCGTGTAATGGGATGTCCGCTGAAATCCGAGGAAGTTCTTTGCATGGACGGCCGTGGATTTCCTGACTGTATGATATCAACAGATGGAGATGTCTGTGAAGTCAGGTGGATGTACAACGGGTCTGTTACCCTTGCTTCCAGTTTTGTGAGTATTGAAGTGATGAACAGTGTACTTCGGTCGAGTGATGGCAGAAAGGAATCATACAAGTGAGCAGACCGAAAAGTGGCAATATTTACAGTGAAAACATGAAAAGCTTGGTTAAGCTGGATTTTCTTATTTCCTTGTGTAGAATTAAGGCCTGAACAAGGAAATGGAATGTACCAATGATTTTCCACTGTGAACTTCGTGCTTGTAAATCCATGACTGGATCATAGAAATATTGGAATTGTAAATGGCACACCACGAAATACCATTTGGATCTTCTCTATTTCAGAAGTGAAGTTGCTAACAACTTGACCGCTTAACCACAACAAATCTGTGCAAACCTGTGGGATGACCAAGCACATCCACATCAGTCACAGAATCTGGCGATG